GGAAATTTTACGAAAAATCGATTAAACCAATATTTTTAGGCTTAAAATGAAATTAGAAAATGCAAAATTTAGACATAAATCTGAAAATAAAAGGATTTTTAAGTCTAAAAAAACCAAGGGGAACGTTTATATTTCAAATTTAATTGTTTTTTCGCATAATAATCATACTGACATGGTTCTAAAAGTCTTTGAAGTTGATGTAGTCGTTATTGTTGAAAGGGTGTAAAAGTTTGGAAATGGGGTCAAAATCGCACATTTCGCTTCCATTTGAGGGAAAAACGAGCCTGGTGACCCCCTTTTTTCTTTGCATTTTTGGATTCAGCATAAAAAAATCTACAAAATATGTGAAAATAAAAGAAATCTACCTGGGGTCCTTATTGGGGTGAGCCACCTTAATTGACAACGAAAATACATCGTAAAATGACTCGACGTTTCTTGTAATTAATCAATCCTCTTTTAATTAAACAAAAAAGAGTGTACATTTCATCTTACAACTTATTACAAATTACAAATGTCATAATTGTTGAAACATTAAGATCTATCAAGGGTTACGTTATACATTCTGTGTAAGGAGACGGAATAATTGATAGAATGTTATATATGGGTGCCAGTCGTGGAACAGGAACTGCTTTCCCTTCCTGGGAACATGAGTTCACCCCTATTTTTGATGGTGTTCGTGTTGCTCAATCTTTAGTTTTCTGTTATTGTTGTTTTGTCTTTTCGTAGTTTTTGGAAAGTTTGCTATACTTTCCTATGGCATCGGCCTCAAACCGGAAGTTGGACAGACTATCTTATGTGTTCTACTCCTAGATAATGTAGTACTAGTGTTTGAATAATAATTCTAGGAAGATACTTTTGAAATTATGAGTAACTACTTATCATTTGATAACCTTACAGCTTGAATAAAAATGGACTGAATGTTCACCGACAATTCAAATGAATTCAACTTCATTTTGAAAATGAGTATCACAAACACTACTTCGCGGATCTGCCCTGCGCGGAAGAGAAAACCAACAAATCTTCACGAGACAGCAGTTTCTACGTTTAATTCATAAAAAATTTAGAGGGCCTGACATTTATTTCGAGGTGGGTGTTTTTTTTTTTTTTTTTTTACATTTATTCATGAAATAAAAAGAATTCTTATTGTTAAGAATATCGTAATCTTTTCATTTTTTACGTTTGTAAATGGTAATAGCTTTGACCTCTATAAATTATGCATACTTTGAACTGTCAGCCATTTTGTATGTTTATGTTACCTGTATGCGTTCCAACGGGATTCCCCAGACATGCGTAAGATCCATACATGTGAAGCCCCCCCCCCCCCCCACGGGAGTACAATAATCCCGGTTTCAGGGGTCTCCTTCCGTCCTCCGGTTGAAGAGAAGAAAAAAGTACTGTGTATAAAATATTCGCATTTTCCGGCGCCATTTTTTACTACGATATTTACAAATGTTTATTATTAAAGACGTAAAAGCCCGAGTGTATCGAAAGTATACGAAGCCTAGGACCCTGGCTCACTGCTCGGCAGTAGACGAAGTATTAGATTGGGTCAGGATGCCAGGATAAAGTATACGGTATAACTGACATTGCTGATTACGCAACATGTTTAAATTTTGACCAGACCGGCGAATGAATAGTTCGATTGAACAATAAACAAGTATCAGGATATTAAATAATCGATAATCATATTGCTTCTGTCTATGTCACACGCCAAGGATGAGTAAATGATCGTAAAGGTAAATACCGGCTTTGATAGAAAAGTGCATTGTCAAAACATCGATCGGAAGGTTTTATGCCAAAAATTCAGCAAAGAAGAACTAGATGTTTCACATTCCAATGCGGATATAAGGACCTTGGCTCAGTTTAGCATGCTCAAGTGGATCCACACTGACAGCAGAAAAACATTGACCCAACGACAGTTCACAGCCTCCCAAGTGTTAGGATTAACAACTACACAAATTGTTACAAGGATAAGGATTACTTTAGGACAGTTAAGTGTATTAATATTTGTTTGTTTATTTATAACGTTATAAATATGTATAGCAAATAATTTTTTATATATCTATGCCTATGTGACATTGCATACTAATAAAACAGATGGAGGCATGAATAGAACAAGATACTTAAATGTTCTCTAAATTAGACTATTTACCGGATTAGTAATAACATAAGCAACAAGACGGGTGCCACATGTGGAGCAGGATCTGCTTACCCTTCCGGAGCACCTGAGATCACCCCCAGTTTTTGGTGGGGTTCGTGTTGCTTAGTCTTTAGTTTTCTATGTTGTGTCATCTGTACGATTATTTGTCTATTTGTCTTTTTATTTTTGGCCATGGCGTTGTCAGTTTGTTTTCGATCTATGAGTATGACTATCCCTCTGGTATCTTTCGTCCCTCTTTTCAAAGAAAAGGTTAAATAATAGAATCTGAAATGATTATGATAGTTGATTTATCCAATTTGTGTCCATTTCATAAAGTTTGTGCTTTATACTTTGGGTTATCAAACTCAGTAGGAAGTTGCATCATGGTCTTTGGACGTGTCATATCCCAAAGTCGGATCACTTTGACCTTGACTTTGTCCTTTGAAACCTATGATAGTAAAACCTTGTACATTAGTGTCTGGATCATATCTTTTGTACCTTAAAATTTTGGTTACCCTAGCGAGAAACTGCATGGAATATAGTTTAACCGTTGCATTTTGGGCTTGGGGTACATCATATACCAAAGTCAAATTATTCTGACCTTTCTCATTTGACCCCTATGATAGTTAAACAGTATCTGGTTTTGTGTTTGGTACATATATTTTGAACTGTACATGTAGCACTTTAATTGACAAAACTTTGTACACAGAAGCATCATATTGACCTTGACATTCAATTTCAGAATTTACAGTATGAACCTCACACTTTGTTCATGGGTCAGTATGATTCTTTAAGATTGACCTATAATTAGGGCCCCGTCGAATGGCGGGTCGCCCTATAGTGATCAGTCTGTCCGTCCGTACGTAACAAATTGTGTCCGCTCTATATCTAGAGAACTGTTTTGATTTCAAAATTTATACTTGACATGTATATTAACCAACACCAGAGGCTGTGTCATAATATTATACAACTTCCTAGGTTAAAGGTCAAGGTCCAAAACTTTGGTTTCAGTTGACAACCCCATGTCCTATGGTATAGATCTTGTCCGCTTTATATCTTGAGAACCGTTTAAGATTTCAAAGTTTATACTTGACATGTATATTACCCAACACCAGAGGGTGTGTCATAATGTTTTTACAACTTCCTAGGTCAAAGGTCAAGGTCAAAAACTGGTTTCAGTTGACAACCCCATGTCCTATGGTAAAGATCGTGTCCACTCTATATTTTGAGAACCGTTTTGATTTCAAAGTTTATACTTGACATGTATATTAACCAACACCAGAGGGTGGGTCATAATGTATGTACAACTTCCTAGGTCAAAGGTCAAAAACTTTGGTTTCAGTTGACAACCCCATGTCCTGTGGTAAAAATACAATTTTTTTACCACACGTTATTCACAGTGGGGCCCACAGAGATGACTCCCACCTCAATGATGACTAATTACCAATGTTTCAACTCAACACAGAGGCAATGATTATATCAAATGAATGGCTGAAAACCAATAATCTCAAAATTTCATTGCCTCAATGCTGAATTTCACATCAGCAACTTAAATGTATTACATGGTTATAAGTACCCTATGAATCTAGTGTATATTAACTTTTTATTCCTGTCTTAGAGCACATTGTCATTGTTGATTAAAGCCTTTCATATAAATTCACTTTCATTACAGTTGTATTGATTTAATTTGCTGTCTTATTTAAAATAAGTGATGTGGTATATTTTGCGAATGAACCAGTTATCCAAAAGAGTTCAAAGGAGGAACAGTGTTCTCCCCAGGATTTTTAGATAGCACCAGCGTAATCAATGTAACAAATAACATATATGCGTCAAACATAATTTACATCATTTCGCAACACTTTTACTCTATTCTCCTTATGGTTAGTTTCCATAGGGTTCTTTCTTTTTTTTTCATTTGAGTTTTCTTTTCTTTTGTACTATGTTGTAGGGTAATTGAGTTTTACTGTGCGTATTGCTGTGTGTTTGTTTATTCTACACTGGCTAGAGGTATAGGGGAGGGTTGAGATCTCACTAAAATTGTTTAACCCGGCCGCATTTTTTGCGCCTGTCCCAAGTCAGGAGCCTCTGGCCGTTGTTAGTCTTGTATGTTTTTTTTTTAATTTTAGTTCTTTTATATGTTTAGGAAGATATAAAAAAAAATTATAGGTCACCATACGGTCGTCAACAATGAGAAAAACTTATACTATATATAGTAAGCTATTAAAGTCCTTGATATGAAAAATGTGGAACAATTCAAACATGACAACTAACGGCTTAATAAGTAACAATACAATTTACAAAAATAAAATCTAAAGGACCTAAAACAATAAAAAATACTAAAATCACAGGCCCTTGACATGGGATGGGCACATACAGAAATTAACAGAGCTTTTGTATATTTGATTATTTTAAATCTACAGTTTAAGGTTGCAATAGAAAATATCAAAATTTTACATGACAGTGGTTTAGTAAAAATCATCAAAGCTGTGATTAAATACATATTTGAAATAATACACATCTTCAACCTATTTGAAAAAATACACATCTACCGTTGCAAACTTTCCACAGGTGCTATCCAGCACTTTGATTTTACAGTGTTGTCTGTTTTTATTGAACTGACCATTTCTTATTGCCCCTTGGTATCTTCGCACTTTTTTATAAGATCGGGTAGCCAATATAAAAGTAAAGCGGTACAATTCTATCCGCCGTATCACGTAATTATTCATTAAAAATTACCGCATGTATCTACCAGGATTTTTTTTTAAATCCTTGTTTCGAAAAAAAATGTTCCAACACTAAGCCGAACCATGTGCATTTACGACCAAAATATAATACATGACGAAAAAATGAAATGCTGAGATGATAAATACATGTTTATAAATACATATTTATATATGCTTATATGAATACATACACGATATATAGATTTAACTGTTAAAGTACACTGGATACATTTGTAATACCGCATTCTGATATTTACGTTAATTCGCTGAACAAAAGACGATAATCTATGAACTGCGAATCTAATCAGTTTCCACTCAAGATTTTCCAGATTAACTTATCAAATTATTTTTTAAACTTTCAGTCAAGCACTGTTTATCGCAGATTGTTTCTTTAGCCATCGTGTCAACATACAACAAAGGCTATTTATTTGATATGTAACGCGGCCATTGAATAGTCACTGAGAACACCCATTGTGTTTACGACACATCATAAGAAAATCTTAGTTTTGTTCAATAACTATATCCCTGTTCTTATTATAAGAATGAAGTGTTTCACATTAGAGAACACAAATTAAGCATCAATATATGAAAAATTCTTTATTAATTTAAAGATATATCAATTATGATTTTTTTTGAAAATTTACAACTTCTCCCGTTCTTTAAAAAACACACCGTAACAGGCATGTTTGATGTTTTCTAAACTTAAGAATGATATGACCTGCACAACATTCACGATTTCATAATGACAACATCCTCTTTCGTCTGCGACATGTTTGGAGAAAATCTGTGTTCGTTAGTTTTGTTCTGAATTTTGTCTACATATCCTTTATTTGTTGAGGGAATTGCATAGATCGTTCCTTTTTGTCCACGTAGTATAGGTCTATATACTAATGAACCATGGACGCTCCGTGGTCTAGGATAAACTTTTTCAATAGGCCTTTCAATCGTTGACGACAAATTGACGGACCGCCTCATGGGAACTCGGAGTGTATGGGGTGTTCTTGTAGTCGTGTAAATTGCATGCGAATTGCGATCTCGTAAACTGCCTTGCAAACTAGAATCATTACTGAATGTGCTTACATAGGCTGATCTCGTACATATTTCACGGGGAGCTATCTTCCCTCGCAAAACTACATCCTCTTTCCATGTATCGTATGATGTTGTTGAATTTCGGGGAGAAAGTTGTTCACCATCTACGACATTTATCACAGGATTTTCTTTTGATACGTATCGGCGAACATATGTTGGGAGCGTAGTTTGTGTTCCCGAGTTCCTGTAATCAGGGACGACCACTTTGACCTCGCCCTCCTCGAGGTTAAGGGATTGTGTTGTTGCATTTAGGTTTTCGATTATATTTTGGTTCTGTTCGTCGTCAGTGGAATCCTCGTCTACTACAACGGCCTCTATTGTAGTCCTAGGTTCACCCATTATTTCTACCTCTATTTTTCTGTCAGTATGCACTACTTCATTTTCATCTTTATCATAATACACATCAGTATCAATGCTTGCAGAAGTCTCAAGCATCAATTTGATTTCTTTAAGTTCCTGTGATAGATCATCGAGTTCATCTCGTAGACCGGTTTCTGAGAAAGAATTGGAAAATTCTTCTCCGTTTTGATCAGTTGATCCGCCTTTTTTTGCTGCAGTGTTACAATCTTTTCTGTTTACAGATTCATATTTGTTGTTTATTTTAGTTAGGTTTTTCTCATTTGAAGATGCTACGTTGGAGTTAATGTCTGTGTGCTTAGTTTTTATCACACCATTTTGTTTTGAATGAACGTCTTGCATATAGACATTGGTATGAAGCTGACGTTTATCTGTTGAATGATGCTTTGAACGAAGCGTCCAATTTCCACTGCTGATTTGTGTAAGTTCTAAATTATTATCTCCACTGCATAGTGTTCTCCGCAAATCTTTAAAGCAAGAAACAAAGAGACTGGCGTCTGTGCCACTTAAGCAGCTGACTGCGACAATGCGGTATTTTCTTCTTTGGTCTTTTGTGATAAACAACACACACTGTGGATTATACTGATTTACTGTTGTAAAATAAATGTCAGTAAATGGCACGACATCCTTCAATGTTTTCCCAGACATTAACGACGAAGTGTTCACTTTTACACCTTGGCTTGATAGATGGAGCGTACATTTCGTTCCTTTCCCATGTCTTACCATATCTGCAACTTGTCTAATAACATAGTCGGCAACCGTGTCATCTTTCCAACATCCTAGATAATTACACTTTCTTTTTAAATAAACCCCTTCCATGTGTCAAAATCTTGCTTTAAAATTCACAGATGATATACATGTATGATAAATCTCACCATAGAGTAAAATCCACAATATTAAATCTCCGTCTTTTTACCTATAATGAAAATAATAAAACTTCTGAAAGATTTTTAGTTACATATACCTGAGTAAATTCACATTTAAATTAACGGTTGGTTGATCTTATAGATTTCATTATACATTACAAACATCCACATTTTTTTTAAATACAAGAGGCTTCCCATGGGGGTTAAAGGGTTACCTCAAACCAAAACAAGAATTGACAAAATTAGATAAAAGTACTGACGTACTGTTTACTCAGATAAACCCCAGATCTGATGACTGGGGAATAAATCATAGTTTCCCACCTCCCTATAGGCTACTTGAAGAAATTTGCAGTTGCTGTCTGACGTTGAGTGTCAAACATTTTAAGTCACGTTTACGAAAAAACACAATTAATATTTAATCAATTGACTAGATTCTATGAGCACAGAGGGTTGAAAGGGACAACTGAAAAATGTTACACTGTCTGAAGATAGGATAATGTATTCAATGAATTTTTCGCATTTCGATCAGGCGTGATTGTATATAAAATAGTCAAACCGACACCCCTCCCCAATACGAGACTGGAGAATTTTAATTGACTACAATTCTATACTTATGTGACTCTTTATTGTGTAAACAGTATGCGTTGGTTGTCTCTTATCTTCACAGCGTAGACCTTTCTTATTTTTTTAAATACGCAGATGATATACATGTATGACAAATCTCACCAAAGAGTAAAATCCACAATATTAAATCTCCGTCTTTTTTTTTTTTGTTCTATGATTAGTTTTGAATAGTTGTAATTTTAAAAGCAAGACATCATCTGAATTCTTAATCATCCCATGATCCCACCAAGTCATAACACATTAAATTTATGTATTTTATGCAATGTTTATAATAGCAGTTGTTTAATTTATCTCGATAAATTGTTTAAACAGAAGAGGTAAATTACAGAATTCTATTTTGGTTAGCGAACTTCAAGCTTAATCGGTAGTGATTCCTTACGTGTATAGGAGGAAGGAGGCAAACCTTGTATTATACTATTTTTTAAGATATGAATAAGAAGATAATAAATAAAAATTAGCGGCTCAGCAACCTAACACAAAAGATTAACACGCATAGTCATCTATTGACTGCTTGAATTCAGTGGTGTAGGATCCGGTGGCAAGGTGAACAAAAACAACTAACTTCTAAATTATTAAACTATAGAAAAGGGGTATTTTTTTTTTTTTTTTTTGCTTTTCACTTTTTAGAAGTTTTTTTAGGAAAAAATCATATCTTAATGCTAATACTTTTATAAGAGGCGGAAGATACCATTGGGACGTTCAAAACTCATAAGACTAAGAGAAATTGAAAACTTCATTGCAAAAAACAAGACACAGAAAGCAAAAACAAGTCCACAAAAACACTACATAAAAAACTCAAGACTAAGGAAAACGAACCCCACCAAAAACTGCGAGTTATCTCATGTGCTCCGGAATGGTAAACAAACCCTTCTTCACTATATCAATTCTTTGAAATCTTACCATCATCGAGGACGAAACTTAACATTTAATAACAGATTAAGATCTTGACATATATAGTTTAGACATCTGTCTAGTGCGTAAGTGCATGCGTTTGCACGTGCGAATTCATATTAAAGATTGATTTGGCTTAAAAAATAAAAGAGATAGTGCCAATATTTAACAAAAGGGCCATTTCAAAAGTTATGTCAATATTTAATTTAATGTAATAGTTTCACAGCCTCATGTGTGCACTTTGAGTATCTTACAATATTATGACTAATTATAAATGCCTGCAAATAGCCCAAAACCGCAAGTTTGACAGAATTTGGCAAATAGGAGTATTTGTAAGAAAGATATTCATAACCAAAACCCAAATTATACTGGATCTAAAGATGTAAATTTTTACATATTATTCATTTTGATAAGTGACGTGCTTTGATGAATTGACCTAAAAAACAGCAAATTTAGCGCCGAATTCCATATTTATTTTATTGAAATATGTTGGAAAGGTATACGATAATCATATATACTCGTAATTATTCAAGTCCCAGTAGGATTTGACAACGTTCAGGTTTTAAGTTCTGTGAATGAAACAAATATTGAAAAATTATGCAGAGGTTTGTCTTAAATCAATTTTCCATGAGTAATGCTAAAACATAATGTTGGCAGAATTTGAGGCATTATTGCTCCTCAATGGCAAAATGAATCGGTAACCTGAAACCACAACTGGTGACACGTGATACAAATATTTAATAAAATAATTCCTTACAAACCAAATGAATTAAAGAAGGGACAGTACTTTATTTCTGTTCTAAGCGTTTACTTGACATTATTTTAATTTAAGTTATCAAACATTTCTTCTATAAAATGATATAATAAGTAAGCTGTGTATTGGACTCGTTGTATTGTGTATATCATACTTTCATAAATAAATATAATTATACTAATGATATATCAGTAATCATGAGATGAGAGTTTAGTGTCTCCATGGTGTTGTCTTAATTAATATATTTATAAGTACTTACAATGGTAAATCCAGTCGTGCTATAAGATAATCTTGATATAAAACTGGATTTAAAATAAAAAACTTATAGCCTTAATATAATGATTGAATAAAAAATGGACGCACAAACAAAATTACTTTGGAAACAATTATTCGATATAACTGAGAACCTTTGTTCAAAATAGATGCATTCATGCAATATCATGTATTAATCCCATGTTCACCATTATAGTTTTAACGTTACCAGTTATGTTAAGACTATAGAAGGTCCTGATAATAATAAATACCCGATCGATCGATCATCAAATGTAATATATTTATGAATAGTACGGAAGCACATGTATTTGTTTTGGTAAAAAACGTGTGTTTGTTTACATCAACACGTGTTTTAGAATACCTGTAATGTTTACAATGGTTTTCCATTGGATGAAATTTGTCGCATTGCAAGTATAATTCTCCGAATTAAACATGTATTCGAAGTATCGTATGCCATGATTTGGCTCGTGTTTCTCGTGCTTGTCGTTCCTATAAATTAAATGTAATGTATAATGTTATTATTCGAAGTTCTGTCTTACACTGAGTAGCATACTCCTTACAACTGCCTTGCCTGTATCAAGACCCCCACCCACCCTCATCTAGACAGTCAATTGTTGTTATGTGGAAAGTAATGGTTATTTATAATGCTTTTTATTACATTGGTTGCAATGAATTACATTGATTTCCCAGTGAAATAAAAATCGATAATATCACATGTGAAATAAACGTGGTTATTTCACTCCTCTGACGTCATACAACAAAAGGCGTTGTCAAGACGTCGATAACGTCGGATCAAAACAAATTGTGAATGCGTAGAAAAAGATATAGTTCCTTACATTTTCTACTTTAATTTCAGAAAAAAGTCATTTGCCAATGTAATAAAAAGAATAGCTAATCAAAGAATTCAAATTTCGAAAAATATTCAACTCGTGACCGAACAACACTGATAATTAACTCATGCGCTACGCGCATTCGTGAATTATTGTGTTGTTCGGTCACTCGTTGAATATTTTTCTCTATTTGAATTCTTTGATTAGTTATTCTATAAATATTAACTTTGTGTGTATTTCTTGTTTTGAAGATTGATGTTTTGACTGGATGTGTTTGAGAAGTTTTATTATACATTCGATAATAAAAGTGCGATACTCTCACAAGGAGAACTCATTTCTGATACATATGTTGATTTTTAGCATATGTATGGATAATTTATGTTCGTTTAAGTCTGGCAAACTAGAACATAACCATAATTAGTGTGTACCTACTAGATAACGCGAAAACAGGTTTTTCCTTACCGAAAAAAGAATTTTATGTAAAAAAAAATCGGAAGTGGTTTCGCGGAACCCTGTTTCTCGCCTTTGATGGCAGCTGTCAGTGTAAAAGTGTACTGATGACCTAAAACATGAGTCCATTTATCAGCAAAATACAGAATTTAAAAAATAAATAAAACTATTTTTAGATGCTATTTCTTGGTCTTGAAGATTAGCGTCTGTCCAAGTTTCATAACAATCCATGAAGGTATACAAATTTATCATGTCAAAAACATTCAATCACAGACTGTCTGTAAATGTTAACTGTAAAAAAACTAAGTCCATCTATCAGAAAAAATACTTAAACTGAAAACAACATATTTTTAAAACTTTGCTTCAGGCATTATCTCTTAATCATAAAAACTCTTCTGCCAAAGTTTCATAAAATTGTGTGAAGGTTTGACAAAGTAATTGATGTGAAACAAACTTAGACAGTCAACTTCTCGTCTCAGACAAGATTGCCAATTCAAAAATTAAAGTTCTTAAAAAAATATTTTATGAAATTTTATTGATAAGATCAATATATATGAAGAGATAAATAGAATAGAGAATGGAAACGGGGAATGTGTCAAAGAGACAACAACCCGACCAAAGAGCAGTCCAAGGCCACCAATGGTTCTTCAATGAAGCGAGAAAATCCCGCACCCGAAGGCGGGCTTCAGCTTGTCCAAACCAATAACGGTATACTCATTCAGCATTATGGACTCCATCCTTAACTCCGAAACTTACAAATGAACAAAAAAAAAAACACAAGGTTAACAAAGTCTAGAGGTTCCTGACTTGGGAAAGGCGCAAAAAATGCGGCGGATTTAAACATGTTTTGTGAGATCTCAATCCTCCCCCTATACCTCTAGCTAATGTGTAGTACACAAATTACAGCAAAACGCACATGGTAACTTCGGAGATTATCCTACGCAAAAGTGAACATCACCAATACGTATTTTCGTTTACATATAAACGTTATCATTTATCATCAAAAGTTGAAGGATTCGGTAAATAAGAAAATTTATGATAGCGTTGAGGTTTTTATTTTATTGCTGTTATTTTTTTGTTTCATGCAGTTGTTTGTTCACTTCGACGTATTGTTTTTACACATTTTTATTCAATAGACATTCTTTCTTGAGTAGTGATTCTTCGTTACAGCCAGCTTTTGAGATAATATTAGAATCAAAGCATTAAAGATTTCTTTTCTAAATAGTTAATGAAAGGACTTTGAAGGATAATCTAATTTGATTGTTCTTTATACATTGTATGCCGGGTGACAATATAACAATGCTGATTGATTACTTACTTTTTAAAGGAATACGTTCAGTTTGGTTCTCTCGTCTATCCTCTGTCGCATTCAGTTTGGTTCTCTCGTCTTTCCTCTGTCACATTCAATTTGGTTCTCTCGTCTATCCTCTGTCACATTCAGTTTGATTCTCTCGTCTATTCTCTATGACTTAAGTGTCCTAGGGTAATCAAAAGGATAAATGTATTCACAATTTATAGGCATATCAATTAAAAATATTTCCCGAAATACGAATGAAAATTGGGCAATTGATCTACTACATAAATGTAAAAACGATATTGATTTGATATTAAGCAGCAATCTAGATTTTAATAAAATGATGACACATAAACATTGGTTCTGTAACATGATAACGATAACTTTGATAACAAAAAAATATATGCAAAGGTTATTAACTGATTTCTTTTTTGTGAGCTCTTTTAAGTATCTCAATAAAAAGCTTCATATACGAGTTGCAGTTGATATTTTAAAATACATTTTGATATATTTTTCCTCATCCAAAGGTTATATTCTGTAAATATTGTTTAGTTTATTTTCCAGTTTTGATGATTACTTAAATTCTTCTATAGCCAAAAAGGGAAGTTATTTTTCCACCTCAAAAAAATTGCATCGGTTCGGTCCAGTTTTTTTATGCGAACAAAACTTATGTTATTTGTTTTGATATATGTTCATATTCTGACAAGCAGTTGAATGGTTAATAAAGGATAAGGCAAAATATCATTTTCTTACATATATAAGTAAACTAATGAAATGCTACGATTATACTTTGTAATGTTTTCTTCATTATTTTAAACGACCGTGCGTGGGCTTATTAGCCTGTCAAGGCCGCAAAACACACCCGCTAGGACTGTTACGTGATCTAACGCAATAAGATTAAGTTCAGGAATTTAAAGGGTCATTAGCTGTCAAATTCATGTTCACCGATTTGACTCAAATTCTCATATTTGATTTATAACATACTAAAACGTATATCTTGATTATAAAAAGTCTAAAATAAACAATTTACAATGCATGGACTCGATAATATGTATCAGCATTTTGTGTGTATTTTAGTCTAGACGCCATTTGATTAACCATCGAGGTGATCTCCGAAGACTGCCGACGGTCATATAACCCGATATAAACATAAATATAGATATAAATAGATAGCGAACTCGTGCAATTGCATTTTTCTATGTCTGTTTGATTTCATATTATAGGTTAAAAATATATGTTGATCATCGTTTTTACCCGTATAAGAATGAGTTTTTGTGGATCGAATCAGTCAATTAAATGGTTTACCCTTGTTTCACTTTCAATGTTGACATTCTTTTCTTTTTAATAACTGAACACGCCTAATTTATACGTAACCCATCTCTAGCTAAGGGGTTAAATTGAAGGTAACATAAATACGGATTCAATGAGGTCGAATTATTTACTTGCAAGTGAATGATTCTTCAGCGATGTTTTTTTTATCTTATTTTGACAAAATTGAACCAAACTGGCTGCTAAAAGCGAAATATTATTTCACTATTTCACTTTCATTGATGATTGAACAAAAAAAAAACATATTTTAATTTATTTTATAACTCGTAGCTAATGCCCCTTTAAGCAGGTTTCTTATTTCCAATTATTCCCTCCCCCCCCCCCTAGCGGTAGTTGACGACATTACTATTTACTAAATGGATTATATTTTCACGAAAAAAGTGCATATTTATACAAACAGTATATAAACTAAACAATCGAGTTTCAGTATGGCAATATATTTGGTGATTTTTGTGAAGTCTCTTTTCTGGGGGTGAACATTGTTTGCGATTTTTATTTTTTAAGTACATTTCATGAATAAAATAGTTAACATGCCTTAATTTCATTTGAAAAACGACTAAACGAATTTAAAAAAAAAACAAAATAAGTCAGAAATACACATCAAGTTTTTACATTTGTAATAGCACGAAGCTTATTTTTTGTTATTTAAACAGACCTACTGTATTGTTATGACTCATTAGAAAGGTATTTCACTTGACCCATATATTCAACATTTTTTGATACTTTGAACTTTTAATGCCATTATATCAAAATATAGCCTAAATATACACAAATAATTGAATCTGAAGCGAGATGATGTATCTAATAATTTTGCTGTATACGTTTTCAAAACAAAACAATCAACTCAAATACTCATGAACGTAAAAAAGGTATATCCGACTTCCTCCTTTTTTCGATAAGATTGTTTGTCCATTTTTAGAATTTTCCCCACAAAAATGTATTGCAGGCGACAGAGATGCAAATTAATGCTTAAAAGGATCAATATTTTATCTTTCTGTGGATTTTTTCTGTGGAATTTATGCTTATACATATTAAAGATCCACATGTTTTTGCACCTACGTAAGAGCTCTTTTGTGAAAATTTTTCTTTAAATCAATAGTTTACAAATATCACGAAGCTCCATACTATAATTTGAGTATTATATATAATAAACACGTATTTTAGATGCAAAAATTCTAAATTATGCCCCTTAATTAAACTTTTAAAGACCATAGAAACTGATGTAAACAATTCAAATATACCAACGTAGCCATTTTTACTTTCTCTAATACATTCAACTGGATATCAGCCTATCCAATGTTGATGTCTACAATGGTAATCAAAGTACTGAAGTACTGAACATCGGATGACCTCAAGTTGTGTTGGATTATGGATAAATGACAGGTGTTTATATAATACCTGCCAGACAGATATGTTCACCTTACAATATAGTACACATAATATAATTTGCTATCATATCTGAGATATGGACTTGAACTAGGAAACTTAACTTTGTGAATTATCCATGAAATGTTGACGAGGTCAAATGAGACTGATTGTTAGACTGGCATTATGACCTTACTAGTTGCACACATACAAAAATCGTTATCTTATTACTTATAATAGAGAATCAACATAGCAAATAATTCTTCTAATAGTCACTGAACTATGAAAATGAGGTCAAGACAACAATGAGATATTTATTATTCTAATATCAGAAAAAATCTCATAGTATCAAATCAGAATGCAAGTTCTTTCTATTGCGATAAACAATTTAATCGCATTATTTACTTTAATAAAAACCTCATGATAATTTCTGAATTTACAGTCATGACTTAGCTTGTCAATCTCTGCGCTTAAAAATTGAAGTTTCCTAGGCCTATATGTCATGAATGTGGTTGAAATACTGACAATTTTGCTAACTTTTACCAAAAATCTCTTTTTTTATGACATACATTACAATTTCAGAAAAATAGCTGTATAAAGTTATATATGTATCACATATCAGAATGCTAGTTTGTATCATCATGATTATTGCAATAAGTTGTTATTCAATTAATTAAAAAACATCAATTATTTTTGAATTAATAGCCCAAAATATTAGTCTGTATTCAGTACATACATTTGGTTTTTTTTTAACATCTATATACTATTCATTAGCAGAGAATTCATTAGGGAAGTTATTAATTTTGCATAAGACACTCATGGGAGTTCACAATTACAGTGGTCTTTATAAACATAATGACACAATATTATTGTTGATATATGTAAACTGAAATCATTGCAGAATTTTTCTTTCAAATGATTTAATGTTGGTTAGTCACTAAGTACTTTATATACTTAACCTGTACTAAAATAAAGAGATGTGGTATGATTGCCAATGAGATAACAGACTAAAAACTATCCACCAGAGTCTAAATAATGTGTGTGTCATGTCTGTTAGCAGTTATACGTCACTTTACAGACATCAACAATGAATACATTTCATTGTTTTCAGGCAGATGAGGAAAAAGAGGAATTGTAGCTTTTTAGCTTATGTACATGAGAATATAAGAAATATAATAATATAAATAAGGAAATAAGAGAGACATAAAAGACAAGACAACATATAAAGTGTTCCCTTACTAATCCTTAGAGGAGCTGCTGTATACTTAGAAAAAAGGATGTTGAGGACTTGGCAACATCAAAAAGCATTTTTAGACACATTATGGTCTATTGCAATCTGCCCTATTTGCTCCAACCTATAAGTATTAAAATTAATGCCTAGGGTGGGAATTAAACCCATGTATGTTCATATATACTCTTTTGTTCTTTTTGTACATACATGTATATGAAAAATATCAAATGCAAAAAAATGCTGTAATGTAAATGTGGTAATTTACATCCTTACAACCTCATTTTTTTAATAAGGACCTAGTAAAGGAAGTCCCTGAACCTAGTTAGACCTATTTCTTAGGCAAGGTGTATTACATATGCGGATCAAGAAAGGGGGGGGGCCCTTTTGTGGGAAACTGTAACAGTAAATCCATTGGATAAGCTACCCTACACTGTACATAATATGCAAATTAATGATTGGATACGAATTTGTGTCAGCTCTCAAATTGATGGAAAAATGTTAACATTGGAATCCGCCATTTTGACGTAGGAAACAAACTAATTTTCAATCTTGGATTAAAGGACATTGCGCACATTGCCAGCGTATCATGCATAACCAGTCATGTGCAAATATATCTTTTAATTTGTTTTCTACACTTACTATTCTGTGTTTTAGTTAATTTAATGTTTTAATTTCCTACAGAACGGAACATCATTCTCAAAGATGCCGTAGAAAAAAATTATAGGTGGGCGTAAACATTTTACATACGGGAACTTTTTGTGTCGACAGATTAACCTTTATCTGTCAGATTCAGGCGTTTGACGTTCAACTGTTACCTTTCTGTGTATAATTTCCTGTATTGATCGCCCCTCCTGTTTCTTTCAAGCTCGCTCTTGATGAATGCGCATTCGTGGTATTCATCCGCAACAACAATTCTTCGGTACGTCATAGATATTAAAGATTGTTTGACTTATTTATAAATATTTCTTACGACAAAACATTGTGTTTAAAAAAAATATTTTTTGGAGTATCCATTGAAAAAAATGAATTTAAAACAAGCGATAAGGAATTTTATTTTGCACTAGATAATGTCCGCGGATCTATAATTTTTATAGATCAGTTGAAAACCCAAAACTAATTTGCATAATAATAGCAATACACCGGAATGACCTCACGTTCATCCAATGTAAAAATGACAAAAAATTGGTAAAAAAATTAAAAGTTAACAACAATTTTTAAATTTCTATACAGAAAAAGCTTTAATCATAAAGACAATACTA